AGCGATACCTCAGCCCAGATGACCTGCCCCTGGCCAGTCCAGGGTAACAGTAAATCCACAGCTGTGAAAACATGTGGTCCCCTGATTCTCAAGGCCCTCTAAAACACCCTCACAGGGACTAAAATCTTCTCTTGGATCAGAGCAGGATGCAAGACTTACTAGAGAAACTGGAACCCTGGAAACTTCCTTCTGGGCTGTTGCATTTATTTGCAGTTCAAACCCCCTCATTCGTTCTTCATCTGCCTCTGGCCTGTGATATTAGCTGTGGCCAGAGGAGCCTGACCACACCGAGTCCAGTTAACACTAGAGGCTTAGAGTGACAGACACAGAAGATGTGTCCGATCCTTGTTCCTGATCCTGACTTGCGTCCTTAACAAGACACACTGGAGAGAATTGCATCTGCCTTATTGTATTCTTCCTGCAGCCACAGGGCAAGGACCCTGATGGCCAGCCCTCTGCTTGGGCTCAGATCCCAGTCCTTTAAATGGTTTCCTTCTGTTATCTCCTCTCTCCTCTTCATTATGAATGCTTCTCTCCATACTGGATCATTCCGAACACCATGTAAACATACTTTGTCATCTCCCACTTAATAAACAAAATAAAAGAGACCCTCTTCTCACCCTGCATCACTCCCCAACCATTATCCTATTTCTCAGCCTCTTAGAACAATTGTCAGTACTGTCTGTCTTCTCTTTTTCATCTCTATTCCCTCCATGACACAATCCATTATGGCTTCCATTCCTTTCTCTCTGCTGCCACTGTTGTTATCAAGACTTCCAATGATCTCTATGTTGACAAATCTAGGGGAATATTGTCTATCTTCGTCTCGCTTGACTTCACATCAGCTTTCAGTGATGCTGACCACTGTCCTTCTTTTAACCTTTCCTCCTTGGCATCCATAATGCCAACTGTCTTCTGATTTTCGTCCCTACTCACTAATCGCCCTCTCTCTCGTTCCTTTGCTAGTCTACCCTCTTCTTTTTGTTTTTTAATTATTGTCACCTTTATTTATTTTTGAAAGACAGAGCAAGACAGAAAGTGAGCAGGGGAGGGGCAGAGAGAAGAGGGACACAAAATCTGAAGCAGGTTCCAAGGGTCTGAGGTGTCAGCGCAGATCTCATGGACCGTGAGACCATGACCTGAGCCAAAGTCAAATGCTTAACCGACTGAGCCATCCAGGTACTCCTACTAAATACTCTTCTGTCCACCTCCTTAATACTGGGGTTGCTCACTGCTAAGTCCAGAGCCTCATTTCCTTCTTTACACTCTATCAAGGGCCAGATATGTCTCCTCAATTCTCTTGGGTTTAGATCTCTTTAAATACCATGTATATGCTGATTACTCCTCAATTTGCAAATATTCCTCAAACTTCACCTCTGAAATTCAGACTCAACTCACTACTAGAATTCTCCATTGGGGATCTCATAGGTATTTGCAAATGGCCAAAATGGAACTTTTGATTCCCTCAAGCCCCTCTTTCTTCCTCAGCATTCCTCAACCAGGAAAAAGGCATAGCAATTCTACCCAGTTAGTTGCCCACACGAGTGCTTCTTGTTGAAAGTAAGACCCACAAGGGAAGGGATCTTTGTCTGTTTTCCTCGTTGGTGAATCCTGGACAACTACAACAGTGACTGGCACATAGTAAGCACTCAATACATATTTGTTGAATAAATGGTCCCCTTAATTTTTCTCATGATCCACATCTAATCCACCAGCAAATCTGATTAATTACTCTCCCAATCCAAACCATACTCCCACCTGCCCACACCTCTTCATCTCATGGCCACTATCCTGATGATTCTCTCACCCGGATGTCTGAGATAGCCTTTCTTTTTTCTTGCTGCTTCCACTTTTGCTCCTTGCCAATTTGTTTTCTTTGTAGCATCAGATGATATCACTCCTTTGCTTAAAATCCTTCAGAGTCTTCCTACTGGGCTGCAAGAAAATATGAACTCTATTCCTTGGTTTACAAAGCCTTGAATGGCTCTGCCTAATGTTTTGACTTCGTTTCATAACCTTTTCAAACTTTCTCATTAACTTTTAGTCATTGGTCTTCCATGAATTCCTGGAAATCTCCAGTTTCCTCTACCTCAGGGCCTTTTCACTCACTTCTTTCGCCTAGGAGTGTTCTTCTCTTTGCTCTTTGTATGGAGAATTCTTTCTCAGCCTTCAGCTCTCAGGTTAAATATCACTCTCCCAAGAGACCTCATCAACTACCGTACATAAAGTAGCCCACCTTGGTATTTTTTATTACAGTCCTCCCATTATTAACATTGAGTAGAATCTATCACTATTTTGATCATTTGTTTAAATGTTTAGCATCTCTCCCTGCGTCTTCCCCTACTCCTTCCACATAAATGTTAACTCCATAAAAGCAGAGGCTGTGTCTGTCCTGTTCACCATCATATGCTACTAGGTCTGGTATACGCACCGGCATTTGTTCTACACTGTATTTATTGAATAATGAGTGAATAACTCAGATGTGCTTCATCTGTCAAGTTACTTGTGCATTCTTGAGATATCTGGTCCTACTTCACAAGTATTTGAATGTTAAGTTAACTCAGACTTGAGCCGGAGGTACCCATTCTTTCAGATTTACATATAGTTGAGAGGAACTCTCTTTCCTGCAAAAGTTCAATGTCCTCCTCAGGATGTTTATGAATTCCTTGTGTCTTATGTTCTCAAGAGCACTTCTGGTTTTAATTTGCTGCTGCTGTGAATTCTCTGTCCCATTCACATCTCTCTTCATGAAGCTGTTCTTAGTTTTCTGCTCCAATATGACCCAGATGAGAAATAGCTTATTGGCCCCAAACACCACCTAACCAGGCATTTGAGGAGGAAGCAGACTTTCTTGAAGTGTTGGAGCATTAGTCAGGATGGAGAAGAAGCCAGGGAAGCAACAGTGTTTACACTTCAGCACTAGGAAACAAATAGCTTTAAATTTCAATGTTAAGCATCCCTGTTCTTAAAAGTCCTAGAGCCGCCGCCGCCGCCACCACCTGCCATTGGTGATTTTTCACTGATGACACTTCATGGCTCCTTTTCTCCTTTCCCATTGTTCTTCCCCTCATTTCTTTTGGAAATCGGCTTAATGCTCTCTTCCTGTTCTTTTAAACCAGAGGGTGATGGGAGAAAGCAAAATGGGAGGGGAAAAGAGACACTTGCCTTTCAAATAAACACAGAAACAGTCCAGTGCCTTAGAAACAGAGTGACTTCAGGTTGTTGTGGTTCAGAAAAGCACTTTTTTTACTCTATTTTACCTACTCATTCTGTGTACCAATTAAGAGAAGTATATTTATTGCTGAAAGTGCCTACATTAATAGTGATATAGAGAGAGACAGAAATGATAGAGGAATAGTGAGATAGAGACAGAGAAAGATAGAGACAGAGATAGAGATAGAGACAGAGATAGACATGAATGTGCCCTTGTTTTGGTTATTTTCCAAAGAACCCCTGTGGAAACGCCAGAGTCCCATGGACTTGATTCTCAGTGAGTCATGACTTTAGAGTCTGAGCAAAGATTCCTCTTGACTGGGTCTGCAGTCAGCCAACCTCCACTCCTTCAACAGTGTCCCTATTATATACCTTGGCTCAGGTAGGCCAAGTAAACAAGTCTAGTAGAGTGAGCTGTGAAAAGGATTTAAAGACATTCACAAAAATCCCAGTTAATATTAGAGCCAAAGGAAAATAAGACTCTTCATTTGAATGTAAAAGCATGGAACACCAATGCAATGGTCTGACTTGATTTCCAAAGAACAACTCTGAACACTTAAGAAACCCCACACATATCAGAAACAATAAGGAAAATAATAAAAGGACGATGTTCCTCTGGTGAAAAAGAGTGAAATCATTTACTTTAGATGAAAACATTTGGAAAGGTCATGTTTAGATTACCCAAGGCACATAAGAGCTGACTTCCCAGAGCTCAGAGCAAACTGCACTTTCAGACTTCACTCTGTGATTGAAGTAGATTCTCTTTTGCTCCAAGTACAAACTGATATATTCTACACCATTCGGGTCAAGAAAACCTAGTCTCCAAATACAGAAGAATTTCTCCTTTAGAGAGAGAGGTCTGAGCCATTGCTGGCTTGCTTAAATTAATGGGGAATGGGATTATATGTGCAATGGTAAGCATCAATATTTCTGTGGGTTACTGAGTGAGATACATGCCAAGTGTTCGAGAAAGAACAGAGATAGGACTGTCTCACCATCCATGGATCCATGGTGAGGTGGAGAAATGAGGGGCTGTTGTTGTTCCTGTGGCTCTCCTCCTCCCCACAGATGGTAAACAGGGCCAATCCTTGCTCCCAGCTCACTGCCTCTCCCAACACGCTTCCTTTGTAAGCCAAGTCTTTGAAGGAAGCTGGGATCTGTCCGCTGGGCCAGGCGCAGTCCACCTGATGACCAGAGCTGTACCCTTGTTCTTCACATGGCTTCTACTACCAACGCTGCCATCACACCCTCCTTTGCGTCTTGCCTTCTTGACTGCTACCTCGCTAGATTAGGTTCAGTGGAGGTCACTTGGTCAGAATTAATGACTAAATGAATTCCTATTCAGTGAATAGGAATGAATTCTCTGCCTTTAGACATAACTCACTTGGGAGATCTAGAAGTGAAGATTTAGGGGGCTTCTGGATTGATGTTTGTGGTCAGTAGTGATCCAAAGTCCTTTTACTTCCTTCACTGAGTGGTTCTGTAGGACTACAGGCACTGACATGATTCTCCCTTTTCCTCCACTCCCTCCAAATTCAGTATATAGGCCAGACATTCAGATAGATCTCTCAGAGTCACATCCTTCTCTCCATCTCCACTGCCACCAGCCCAGCCCAAATCGAGACCAGTGTGATTGCAATTTCAGACGCTTCCTTATCTTCTCTCTGTTCCCCATTTTCCACACATCACAGCCAGAATGATCTTTTAAAATGCAAATCAGATGATATCTCTCTCCTGCTAAAGCCTCCAATGCACTGGCAGCTTCAGAATTTCTATACACGTTGGAAGAGGGACTGTTGAGTGCCATTTACCTAATATTGTGGAAGCAGCAATTAAAGAATCAGGGAAGGACTGATGGAGTTATGGGGATGGGGAAAATCTCAAAACACTTTGAGTAAAGTCTACTGTATCCTATGGTTTGAAGAGCCTGGCATGGGGTAGCCCTCCTTTTTCTCTCTGCCCTGGGATAAGCCCACCGTCCCTTTGCTCACTGTGGGATGGCCACACTGATCCCTCCCACAAGCCAAGCTGCTCTGGCCCAAGGTCCTTAGCATATGATCTTCCCTCCATCTCTGCTTCTGCATGACTGGATCCTTCTTGGCCACAACATCACCCCCTGAGAGAGGTCTTCTCTGGCCTCTAGCTCTAAGAACCCCCTTCTCTTCACCTTTCTCCCTTCCTCCCATTATTCTGTATCACCACTCTTGGTTTTCTTCATAATACTTTTCTCCATTTTGTCAGTCTTCCTGACTAGACTGTAAATTCCCAAATTACAAAAGAACATTTTGATCTTTCTTCCTAGCACCTAGCACAGTGCTCATCTTACCACAGTGCTCAGCACTCAAAATATACTCGTGAAATATTTGTGAATGAATGAATGTACACTGGCTGGCTGTATTATCTCTTTCCTGGTTAACAGAATCATGTGTAACTTAATTAAGAAGGTAGCAAGGATTAACAGCGAATTTGGGCTCTGCACACAATTTCAACCATTCACACGCATAATCCCAAAACTGGAGTTGGAAACATAGATACATTATTAAAGAATAGTCTGATGGCACCTGTATCCAGAGACCTGGTAACCGGACTCTGGGATGGCACGTGTAGAGGTATGTCATTACCACGTTCAAGTACAACTAGAACCATACGGTCGAGTGCTGGGTTTCTCAGCCTCCATACTATTGAAATTTGGGGCTTGTGAGGAGATGCCCTGTGCGTTGCAGGAAGTTCAGCCTCATCTCTGGCCTCTGTGCACTAGACGCCAGTGTCATCAGTTGTAAACCGCCAAAAATGCCGCCAGAAAACGTCCCTTGGGAGCAAAATCAGCCCAGTGGAGAACCACCAGTCTAGGGAATCACTTACCATCTTCGGGTGGATTGCAGTGATCTGAAAAACCTTGGATACTGCAAAAGAAAGAAAGGAGAAAATGAGATTGGTGGTAGGTTGTTTTTTATTCCTGGCATGAGGACGAGCACAAAGTATTCAAAGGCCAGAATGTGTAATCAATCTAGCTTTAGCTTCAGAAATAGACAAAAGATCTACAGGATGAAGCCTGAAGCTCACTAGAGATTTCCAAAAGAAGAGAGAGGTGAATTAAGTATGATAGATAAAATAATTCATGCAACAGCAACAGGACTTAATTATGGGTGACTGAAGTCTATGAATGTGAATCAAAAAAGTGCCAAAGGCACATCGAGCCATGATGACTGAAATGATGCTTGTCATAAATGACTGGCTTATAAACCAGGGCTTGCTGGATGGAATGCGTGGAATGAGCCGTATCTGGTAGTGGCCTTAATCAATAGGCGAGTCCAGGTAAGCAGTTCAGAAGCTGCTAAACTGATGGTATCATTGGCCCATGACACTGGGATGAGAGTGCTTTATAAATCATCTTGACATCAATCCAAGCAGTAGGAAAGCAAAACTGAGGTTTCAGGTCTCAGGTCTGGAAGGATGCGGCATGTGCATAGATAAACTGAGCAGAGAGAAATGATAGGGATGAGACAGAAGTGAAAAGTGCTCTGCCCATAGGAAATAAATGCCAAAACTGTATTGCGGAAATGCAAATTTAGACACAGAGAAGGCGTCAAAACAGTTAAGTAAATCAGCCCAGAAGGCACTTGGAATGGAAAAACGATTACAGCGTAGAGCCCTCGCAAGGAAAACAGGAAACACGCTGCACCAGGGGAAAGCACAAAACCTTCCTCAAACAGACAATCCTCCACGCAAGTGGAGACTTGAAAGGAGACATGGAGCCACAAATTCTCACACAAACACTCAGTAACCACGTAACAGCTGCCTGATGCCGAGCAGAGTCTGTGAATATGTCTTTGAAATTATCAGTGGCAACAGCTGAATAAGACAGAAGCTGTGAAGGCTTCTTCTCTGTTAAGAGAGGCTTTTAGAAAATATCTGGGAGACCATGGGCTTCGTGATTTCAACAGCAGGGGAAAACGTTTTGAAGCTCTAAGCCACAGCTTGAATGTAGGGATCGCTAAGAAAGTTATGTTTAATTACAAAGAAATCAGCACAAATTTTCAGCGGGGAAACTGTCTTGCAAACCTGCGAGGTTAAGCTGCAAAGGAACATGTTAATGGTTGAAGCAGCCTATCCAAATAATTTAAACACCTTTCCGGAAAGCATTTGACACTATTCTTTGTAAAAACCCTAATCTGCAAAAATATATTCTGGCATTTACTAGGCAAGCTATTTTAACCACAATGAGGAAAAGAATCCTCCTTCCCTCCCCCCAACCAATTTTGAGATAGGCTATCGGGTTACAGTCAATATTCTGGCATGGCAGGAAGAACACTGAGGCTCATTTGAAATACGGTGTGCGGCTCTGATAAGGACATAAATATGGAGAAGGTGGAGCAGAGAGCAACCAAGTGATAAAGAGACTCAAAGGAGACATACTTTACATTAGCACGTATCTTGCAAAATCAGCAACTGCACAGCACTTGGTCAGCAAAGAAGGGGATTTATGAGAGAATTTCATTGAGATGTTGAGGGAAAATCTAAAGGGATTACACATGATAATGCAACAGGGCTGCTTGATTTTGAATGTAAGATCAGGATCTGCAAATTTAGGTGAATTTTTTAAAATGTAAAAAAAAAAAAATCCTGTTTGTTCATTGGGAGGGCTTGCGTTTTCTGAGGTGGTGAGGGTCCTCGAGCAGTGTTGGGAAAGAGGGCACAATGGAGCCGCTGTCAGTACGGTGGGAAGGATAAACAAAGAAGGAAATGAATCTTATAGCATCTCCGACATGGCAGTGTAGACTCATCCCATCCGAGACCAGAGAAATAGATTTTCCTCCTTGGGTCCATCTCATGGTTTTATGTATGGATATTTTTCTTCTTGGATCAGCCTCGTCGTGGGTTTTGTGTAGTCCTACTCCATGATGCAGAAAGCAAGTTGTTTCACTGTCATAGAGAATCTAGATCACATATATCAGGCTTCGTCATGTTCTCCCTGGCTTTTCTCTTCTTATTTCAAGTCCAACACATCTTTCAAGATTCAACCCAAATTCTATCTCCTCTGTAAAGCTTTTGCTGGCTTCTTCGGTTGAAAGTGATTTCTTCCTATTATGAACCCTTCTGGCATTCTCTTCCCTTTGTGACACCATTTATTGTGCATTTACCTTGTGCCTAGCATAAGTTATACCAAAGAAAAAATGAAGGACTATGGCATTTTGAGTGGAGAAATAAAGTAGGAACAGATTAAAATTAGAGAACTGGGATCTAATTCTAGTTAAGATTTGAAATGGAAGAAACCAAGTTTCTTAGAAAAGAGGAATAGGACTTTAAATGCTAATATAGGGTTATGTTTATGCTACTTTATTTCATTATGTTTTCATTAGGTAAGCATAGTCTACAATATATGAGTGTGTACATACATGTAGGTAAAAAAATTTTTTTTTATTCTGGTGGGACAGACACCTGCTAATAACTGTGACTTCCTCTATAGGGAATGGAGTAAATGATAGGCACTCAAAAAAGTCCTAATTTACATCCAGTATGGAGTGTGAGAAGGGAGAGGAGATGATTAAGGACTTGCATTTGCCTCTAGTAGTGGATTATATTTATTTTTGTAAATGCATGTTCCCATGTGTATCTGCGAGGGTCTCAGAAGAAACAGGGGTGCCTGGGTGGCTTAGTCAGTTCAGCCTCCGGCTTGGCTCAGGTCACGATTTCATGGTTTGTGGGTTCAAGCTCCGCATCAGGCTCTGTGCTGATAGCTAGCTCGGAGCCTGGAGCCTGTTTCAGATTCTGTGTCTCCCTCTCTCTCTGACCCTCCCTTGCTCATGCTCTCTCTCTCTCTTAGAAATTAAAAAAAAAAAAGAAGAAGAAGAAGAAGAAATAAACCACCCCAATTATTTTAACAGTGAGAATTTAACATAAGGAATTTTTAACCAGGTGTTAAAGAATTAAAAAAGCATAAAGGGAACACTGAAGTATCGCAGAAGTAATAACTGCACAAAGCACCCACTACCTCCATCTAGGGAATAAGGGAGGCCAAGATTATTAGTAGTAGTATTTCTTGGATTATTACATTTTAGATGTTTGGAAGGGAGTTTGGCTCGTGCTGGTGTCTGGGGATGTTAGAGGCCAAATTCAGATCTCTGACAAGGGGTGTCAGCGAAGGTTGGGAAAAAACTACACAACTGAAATCAGTGCCTCTGGGCAAGAGTCAGGGGGAAGGGTCATTGCTGAGTAACCCCCACAGGAACAGGAAGAACAGGAAGCAGCCAGTTCTTCCTCTTCCTCGCACCTTTGTCTCCACTTTGGCGCCCCCTAATGGAGACAAATGGCAGAGCTTCTTTTTGGTCCCGGGGAATCGTGTGTAGTTTGTCCATGAACCTTACTCACAGCTTATTAAGTTGTATTGCGAACTCTACTATCTTCGTGGGTGAAATGAACAGTTCAGCTCTATCCTAGGAGTCAGAATAGCCTCAAAGAGGTTATAAATGGACCCTGTGTTTATGTGTAACTAGTTTTTTGGGGAGGAACATTGGTTTGGTAGAGTAGGCATAGGTAGGAGTCAACAGGTTTTATTCTTTTTCAGGCTCTGCTGCTAAGTGGGCAGCCTTATGTAAACCATGTAATCTCTTTTAAAATAGCAATATTAAGAATTAATCCCTGTCTAGTGCTTATTATGTGTTGGGCAGTAGGTGTTTTACATATAGTAACTAATTTAATCATTACAACAGTTCTATGAGGAATAGGGACTTTAGTTAATTCACCCAAGGCCACAAAATAGTAAGGGGGAAGATCAGCATCTGAACCCAGCAGTCTGATGTAGAGATTTTTCTCTCCACTACCAAGCTTTGCTGCCTCTCAAACATTTATATGAGGCTTATCACATGCCAGGCACCTTTCTAGGCCATAAAAATATAGGGCCTCATCTACAGATTAGGAAAATATGGCCTGAAGGGACTCAAGAGACTATGTCAACGACATAGTTGGGAGACTATGACTCTCTGGCCTCCGTTTCCCTGTCTGTCAAATGAGGAGACTGGACCAGCTGACATTGAAGGCTATTTCTTCAAGACATTAGGATCCTATTACAAAAAAGCTCAAGGGTCCTGACTAAAACATAACTACAAAGAAAAGCTCTCTCACATATTTACGCACCCTTGATTTCACGGGACTGATAACAGCACAATCATGTACATAAGTACAAAAACTGCCAACTTGACATAGGTTATTTTTCTCCATCATCTATTCTGCTAGAAGCTAGGTGGAAAATAAAATGAAGCAGATCAAGAGCTTTTTTAGAAAAAAAAAATCATTTAGGATAATCTGTTTCTTGCTTTGGGCATGTAGCACTGTGGTCATTCCGCGGGAGGGGATAGCACTTTTTTTTTTTTTTTTTTACTTTGCTTTCTCCCATTTTTCTATCCTGTTTGACTTTTAAATTTTCAGTCTACCACAGGCCTTTGAGATGGGTTAGTGTTTTCAAAATGGAAAGGCCCAGAGTCCAAGGATGTTTGAGAACTTGCCTGAGGACACCCACCTGGTAAGAACTGAGCTGGGATTTGAACTTGGGATGAGTTTTACCTATAGTGACAGTAGCAGGACTGCCAAGACTAAAACTGATCTTGTCTTAGAAATCCTATTTTTTAAAAAAAAACTCTCCTGTCAGTGTGTAACCTTGTAACTCTTGACAGGCCAGGGATAGGGACATTAATAAACTGTCAGCCCCTCAGCCAAATGACCTGGCACCACTGACTTCCTGGAAGCATCACCAAAGCAAGTCACAGGCCAGCTGGCCACCATGCTGATGGGGTACACAGATGTCCAATGTCCCCAGGAACTCCACACCCACTACAAGGCCTGATAGGTTAAATATGGCAAAACCCCTAAGAGCCTCAGGAATGAAATGATTTTATAAGGACAGACC